GGACTTTTTTTCCATTGGATATTTTTTCCTGGTTTGTCAAAGATTAGTTGGCAATATATTTGTGGGTCCCATTCTGGGTTTTCTATTCTATTCCGTTGGTCTATGTGTCTGTTTTTGTGACAATACCATACTGTCTTGATGATTACAACTTTGTAGTATAGGCTAAAGCCCGGGATTGTGATGCCTCCCACTTTGGTTTTCTTTTTCAACATTACTTTGACTATTTGGGGTCTTTTGTGGTTCCATACAAATTTTAGGATTGTTTGTTCTAGCTCTGAAAGGAATGCTGGTGCAATTTTGATTGGGATTGCATTGAATGTGTAGATTGCTTTGGGTAGTATCGACATTTTAACAATATTTGTTCTTCCAATTCATGAGCATGGAATGTTTTTCCATTTCTTTGTGTCTTCTTCAATTTCATAGGTTTTCTATAGTTTTCAGCATACAGATCTTTTACATCTTTGGTTAGGTTTATTCCTAGGTATTTTATGGTTCTTGGTGCAATTGTAAATAGTACTGATTTTTTGATTTCTCTTTCTGTTGCTTCATTATTGGTGTATAGAAATGCTGCTGCTTTCTGTACATTGATTTTATATCTTGTGACTTTGCTGAATTCATGTGTCAGTTCTAGCAGCTTTTTGGTGGAGTCTTTTGGGTTTTCCATGTTGAGTATCATGTCATCTGTGAAAAGTGAATGTTTGACACTTCTTTGCCAATTTGGATGCCTTAAAATTTTTTTTTAACGTTTATTTATTTTTGAGACAGAGAGAGACAGAGCATGAACAGGGGAGGGGCAGAGAGAGAGGGACACACAGAACCCGAAACAGGCTCCAGGCTCTGAGCTGTCAGCACAGAGCCTGATGCGGGGCTCAAACTCACGGACTGTGAGACCATGACCTGAGCCGAAGTCGGATGCTTAACCGACCAAGCCACCCAGGCACCCCCCCCCTTTTTTTTTTTAATTTTTTAACGTTTATTTATTTCCAATTTGGATGCCTGTTATTTTGTTTTGCTATCTGATTACTGAGGCTAGGACTTCCAATACTATGTTAAACAACAGTGGTGAGAGTGGATATCCCTGTCTTGTTCCTGATCTCAGGGGGAAAGTTCTCGGTTTTTCCCCATTGAAGATGATATTAGCTGTGGGCCTTTCATATATGGCTTCTATGATGTTAAGGTATGTTCCTTCTGTACCGACTTTCTTGGGCGTTTTTATTAAGAAAGGATGCTGTGTTTTTGCCAAATGTTTTGTCTGCATCTATTAACAAGATCAGGTTCTTATCCTTTTTTCTATTAAAGGATAAAGAAAGGTCCTTATCCTTTCTTCTATTAATGTGATGTATCACATTAATTGATTCGTGAATATTGAACCAGCCCTGCAGCCCAGAATGAATCCCACTTGATCATGGTGAATAATTCTTTTAATATACTGTTGAATTTGATTTGCTAGTATCTTGTTGAGAATTTTTGCATCCATGTTCATCAGGGATATTGGCCTGTAATTCTTCTTTATATTCTGGTCAAACCAGATAAAGGACTTGCCCATGGTGTCCACCAGGACCTGGGCACCAGCTGTTTCTTCGTGTGTCACTTAAGAGCACCTTCATGTTTTATTTTCATTTTGTGTTTTGCTTTGGATTTGAGGTGGGAAAATGTAGTGTCTGAAAAGTTCGCAGCTCACTGAACTTTTGTGCCTGTGTGAGTGGCACCCGTGTCTCACTGAGGACTGCCCATGGCGCCCCACCTCGGTGTGTTTGTTGAAGCTTATTCAGTTTTGATATTACAAATAAGAAAATTAAAGAACCCCACCTCATCCGTGGTGGGGCACACATAGCTGTGTTCACATGCTCCGTGTCCTGCTTTTTCCCCGTTACATAGTAACACCACCACGTTCCCAGGTTGTTAAGAACCCATCTGCTGGGAATCCCGGCAGCCCGGAATATATCAAACGTATCCACATTACACAGACAAGTGTCACTTTTACAGTTTTAGGTGGCTGCTAATCCCATCCTCTTCTAGGTAGTTTTGCGTTAACCAACTTTGTTCACAAAATCTATGAACATCCAGTGTCCTGTGTCCTGGATAAACTCTGAATAAAAGGGTCTGCATGTACTGACCCCGTGCACCCTGGTTTCTACCACTGCTGTAAGAAGGAGGCTTGTCCTTGGAGAATCTGTTTGTTTAGAACTTCGTAAATCTCAGAGTCGAATTTATCAGACCAAGAGTCAGACGAGCTGGTGGCCGGGGAGATGCCCAGAGAGGAGGGGCGGGGTGTGGAGTGGGTCTGGGCAGTGCCAGCCCGAGGTCGTGTGGGGAGGAGGGCTGAGCAGGAAGAGGTTGAAAGGGGGATGGCTAGGGCAGCTCTGGGACCCAGGCTGTGTGTGTTGGGGGTGGGGTGGGGTGTGGTTTTTCTGGGGCTTATTCCCCGAGGAGCCTGCAGATGGCAGAGTTGAGCCGGCAAGGAGGAAGTTTCCTCTTGGTTGTTAGAGTATAGTAGTGAATCCTTGCATGGTTCAGAGAGTGTGAGAGAAATCCCTGTGTCCATCAGGAAACGTGGAACAGGATCTCCCGTCCTGAAGATTCAGTCTGCATCACTCCTGAAGGGGAGGGACACAGGACTGTGTGTTGAGGGTACGGGATGTGTCACCACTCACGGCCAGGGAGCCTGGATTGGCGGGAGCCACCTGAGCCTGTGGTCAGCACCTCACATTTTGCACTGGCAGCAAACGGGGACACAGCAGCTGGACCAGCTGCAGGATGACCCACAGCTGGAAGAGAAGCAGCCACACGAGCCACAGCCCCCCTTGGAGCTCTCACAGGAGCCACACCTCCCTTGGAGCCC